CAAGTATTCAATTCAAGTACATAATACAAAGCAATTTTGAAAGAAAAATATTGAATAGTTTCTGTGAAATGTGTGTCTCATTTTTATTTTAATACTCTTTTGTTTAAAATTTTAATGATTAAAAATTAAACTTATTGTAATTAAAAAACCCTTCTGAAAATACCTTTTTCTCTGTTATGCAGCTTTTTTCGAACCCATCTAATTTGGTTGCTTGCTAATTTTCTGCACAATTGGTAGCCAAACTATATATCTTTAAGTAGACTGATAGCCTTTGAAGTCATTATTTTTTTTTTAACTTAAAAAGATTGATTTTTTGAGTTTAAATAAGTTATTTGGATTAAATACTTGCTTATTACGAGACTTAAAAAAATTAAATATGCTATGGGAAAATAAAGCAATCTTTAATAGTAATAATGTCAGAACTACAAGCATTTTATTTTCAGTTTCACATGTTGCATGTATATTATTGTTGCTACAAAAGGAACCATTATGGGTATCTGTATCCTAATTGAATTTTAAAAAGTCAACAAACCTGAAATTTAACATACACCATTAAAAATCAAAATTTGAAATTATATGTCCAATTTGAAACATAACATGCACTAAATATAATAAAATGAATTAATTTCAATACTTGAGACAAATAATAGTTGTTAATGTAAATAGTTGTTTCAATATTTTCTATTCTATTTCAATTCTTCTAGTTTTACAAATATAGCCATTTTAAATAATAAATTTAAAAAAAAAAAATTGTGATCAAAACAAACACAACAATGAAAATCGAAAGAATTAGTTTTGTTACATAATATAGGGTATGAGCTTACATATAAATTTTAATTTCTATACTTAGATGAACAGAACAAAAACCTGAATGATATTTTTAAAAAATACTTTTTTTTTTAGCTGAAAATCAACTTTTTTTAGGTAGTCACTGAAATCAATGTATTTCATAGATTTATGCTACCTGGTATGGAATTTCATTATTAAAATGTTCATTGCATTTTATGATAAAAAAATGGTAGTTTATGCAGTATTATTGGAGTTATGGGCTTAAATGATTATTTTACAATAGATAGATAGCAATTTTTTTTATTTATATTTGTTAATGGTATATGCATAAATTTTTATTGAGTATAAACAAAATTTAATAAAAGATTCATTATATCAATATAGTATAAACCCTCACAGATTATATCTCACCGATTCGTTTAAACTTCATAATCTACTGAGATAAAAGATTACTATGTACTCATAAAATAAAGAACCTATTAAAGATTGCAAAAAAAAAAAATTATATACATATAATTTAGGTTTTACAATCAAAATTTCAATTACAGCATAATAACTTTAAGCAGTTAAGCATTGAGCTTAAAATAGATGAATCAGAAATATTGAATAATAATTGATTTAGCAAATTAAATATATACATATATAAATAAATGTTCAATTTATACACAGGATTAATAAACACTACATTTGAATAAGTTTAATCACAAACACTCAGTATAGTAATCACTGAAGGGGGGTCTCAAGTTCAAATATAATTATATTTATCACTAAAAGACTACCCTAATTTTGTCAGTCATTTGGAGAGGCTAGAAGATCCTCTTGCTTTTATTTCAGATTATTTCACCATCATTTCCATTGCATCTCCACACTGCCACTTTAAATCATCCAATCTCTTCTCACTATTTTTTTTTTTTTTTTTTTTCCTCATCACTCTCCTCTCTGACTAAATCCCCCCCCTTTATTCAAACTCTTTGCTGCTCTCCTTAGATCTTGATATTGCATCTTAGATCACCCCATCTCTTTTCCTCACTCTCATCTGATTTCTTCATCTGTCCACTTACATCTCTTTCTTTATAACCTATTTTAATCTGCCTCATTGGTCAGTTACTACATCCAGGAAAACCGCCTCAATGTAGCCATTGGTCTGAGAAGAAATTATTTGCATTAGTCTCAGGTGGGTGACCCCTTGAACCTCCAGTCCTTGCAAACAACCCCTGCTGTTAAGTCATTAATTAGTTCTGACTTTTACTACTTTTTTGTGACTGACCTTTTCATCCACATGGAAAATTGGAGAGGAACTCTTACCAATTGGGTCCATAACGATCCCACGAATTGGTGCTGTCGAGTTGCGCCTTTACTTCCATTGCGATGCAGACCACATAGACAGACTTGTTCAAAGAATTTTTATTACTTTTCCCAGTGACAAATGTCATTTTTTTTTTTTAAATAGGATAAATTATAAATCAAAACACTTTACAAATTTGTACAATTCTAGACAAAAAAAAGTATGATACAACAATGTAAAAATTTAATTTAAATAATAAATTTAACTCTAGACTATGAGTCGACGCGACATTTGTCCACAATCATACGTGTTTTATATGGTGCTAGTTCAAAAAGCAACATTCATTGGACGCAAGAAGTTTATTTTCGTAAATTAGCATGTGAAGTTTCGTGTTGATAGGATTATTTTAAGAGTCACTTCGATCTTTTTTTTTTTTTTTTTTTTTTTTATAACCTACTGTAGTAAAAAAAAAAAAAAAAAAAAAAAACTTCTGTATTCAAATAATCTTCAATCAATAAGAAACCTATGTTCAGTGGGGGGAAGTTTAATCTTCAGACTGGAGATTCAAGATTAATTCGGAAAGAATTTTAAAAAATTTGTCGAAAGTAGTGTATACTGAAAACACAAGTTTTCCGACTGCCTCCATAAGAATTCAAATTTCCTATTGATTTAAAAAAAAATAATAATCTGACGTTTTATAGGAATCTTCCATTGAGAAATTGGGTGAAATTCAAGTTAATAGTGAGTGCGGAACATCAGTCAGGAGAATAGGCTACTGATTGGCTGATACTCAACAATTTCAGTTTTTAGTATTAAGAATGCAACTAGAACAGTTTCGGAAAGAATTATTTCTTTCATAGCACAAAACACGTTTCTGATTGATTAGATTTCTTGATATTTTAGTCTTCACTGTGAATCCAACTTAAGAAAAATCACCACCAATCAATGTTTGAATAGCAGCTGCAGAACAATTTTGGAAGACAAGTTTCGTGGTTTACAATGGCTGGGAATTTACACAAGGTGGGATGTTTGCTGGTCAGCTACGTTGGCAGTGTAACATCACATCTTCAGCGGGTCATTCTTCGCCAAATCAATAATCTATTGAATCTTATTCTCCAATACATCTCTTTAACCTCATTCATGCTTTCTAAATTTTATTATAATATGCGCCGTTTTGAAAAATACATCTGTATAAAGTTACTAAAAGTATCTCAAAATCGCATGATCGCCTTAGATTCAAATTGCCATTTAAACTCTCCTAATTTTAAGCTTAAGAGGTATCATTGTTTAGCATTTTGTGTACTCTTTCATATAATATATACATTTTTTTTTTTTTTTTTTTTTTTTTTTTTTTCGAAAATTTGGAAGGAAATTCAAATTAAAAAAAAAAATGCAACTTAAAAAATTTTCAAAGAAAAAAAAAAATATTCTCTTATTGTAAATTATTACGGAGATCCTTGGCCGCGTAGCGGCCACTAGCTCCTTCATTGTAAAATGTTGAAACATAGCGGTGGTCTCATGCCCTTTAAAATGAAAAAAAATTTCCTAAAATGTAGATGTTGATGAAATCAGTTGCATGTAATAAAACAGAATGAGCAAAGGTCAAATTAGGAGAAAAGCGAACTTTTTTCATCCAGGCAGTTGTAAGGAATTAATTTAAAATATTTAGAACAGTGCGAGGTCTTTTGCTATGTTTGCGGGAAGAAATATCATAATCGTAATTTTGTAGGATATTTAATACAGGGTTATTGATGTTTCGCATATCATTATAGAATTCAGTAGAAATTTTGTGAACAAATTGTCTTAAACTTGGAATCGAGAGAGCTCGTCTAATATCGTCATTACGAAAGTACCAGGGTGAATTCGTTAACATTCTGAGAGTTTTGTTCTCAAGCCTTTGAATAATTTCAAAATTTGAACGTGCAACAGAACCCCAAACTGGGCTTGCATAAGCTAATACTGGACGAAGATAAGAGAGATATGTTAGAATTTTGAGATTAAGAGGTAAAGCTGAATTTCTATTGATTAAAGGATAGAGATTTCTAAATTGAGTATTGAATTTATTTCTAAGGTTGTAGATATGCGATCTGTAGTTAAGTTTACTATCAAGAATAATTCCTAAGTACTTAGTTTTTTTAGACCAGGTGATATAATTATTATATATTTTAATATTAGGAGGGTTATAGGATTTTTTGTAAGTAAAAAGAACTGCTTCAGTCTTGTCTACATTTAATTTTATCTTCCAGTTAATGAGCCATTTTTCTAAATCAATGATATAATTTTGCAAATTTTCCTGGATGGTGCAAGTGTTTCTTCCTTGTGTTAAGATTGCAGTGTCGTCAGCATACAGACTAATTTTGATATTGTTCTTTTGTGGAATATCGTTGATAAAGATATTATAGAGGAAAGGAGCAAGAATGGAGCCCTGGGGCACATCAGAGTGAATATCACGAATTGAGGAATCAGTATTCCCTACTGCGACAACAAAGTGTCTGTCTGAAAGATAGTTACGAACTACTTGAATCAAATAAGGAGAGAAATTGTAAGAAATGAGTTTGTAAATCAATCCATTAACCCAGACTCTATCAAAAGCCTTGGCCACATCAAGAAAAATTGCAGCAATTTCATATTTCCAGGTAAATCCTTCAGCAACAGTTTCTGTGAGATTGTAGAGCCGATGAGTTGTTGAAAGTTTTTCGGTAAATCCAAATTGCTGTGGGATGAGAAGGTTCTTTTGATTTGACTCACTTTTAAGGAGGTTCAGGAGGACATTTTCAATTAGTTTACTAATAGAAGAGAGTAAAGAAATTGGTCTGTAATTAATAGGAGAAGTAGGATCCTTTCCAGGTTTAAGAATTGGGAGAATTCTAGCTGTTTTCCAAGACAGTAACCAGTATGAAGAATAGAATCACTAATTTTACATATGCTGAATATACCGGTTCTCGTTAGATCACCGAAGTCAAGCATCATTGGGCGTGGTCAGTACTTGGGTGGGTGACCACCTGGGAACACCGCGTGCCGTTGGCAAATTTGGGACCTGAATGGCCGAGTGTCTAGCGCTCTGGCGCTCGGTGCCACAGGTTTCGGGTTCGAATCCCGGCGGTGCCATGGATGTTTGTAGTGGTTCGGAATCCACTTTAAACCGTAGGTCCCGGTCTCCTATGACTGTAAGAGCGTCACGGAGCCAAAGTCAGACTTCTACCTACGGGTGTTCCATCACAACAGAAGCTGCTTCCTTCCCCTTCAATCATGAGTACGTATGGGCTCGTGGGCTTGGCCAGCCAAGTGGGATAAGAAACAACAATTTTACATATCTCAAGTATTATTTTGAAAGGAAGGTTTTTTAACATTTTATTAGTAATTTTATCTATGCCAGGAGTTTTGTTAATTTTCAGTGAGGAAATACAATTAATAACGAAAGGTGCTTTAGTGATAGGAATTTCAGAGACTTGACAAGTATTAATAAAATTAGTGATAGTGGACTCAACGAGATTTTCTGTATCATGATTATGAATGTTGTTCTTAAGAAACTGTTCCTGAAGGCTGTCAGCTAAAACCTCAGCTTTTTGACTGTCAGTGGTGGCCAGTAAATTGTTAGAGCCTAGGGTTCTAATGTGAGAACGTTTACGTTTAAAAGTCCTGGGACAAGACCAGAAAGAACCATCTTCGCAGTTTACGGTTTGTAGGTGTCTATCCCAAGTTTCATAGTTATATCGAGCAATAGCTCTTCTCAGTATAGTCTGCGAGTGGTTATAATTAGTCTTACTTTGTGGATCACGAAAGATTTGCCAGGTTTTACGGGCATGATTACGGTTAGTGATTAAGGTTTTAATGTGTGGAGGAAGATAACTACGATTGTTAGTATTAATTTGTTTCGAGGCAGCATTGTGAGCATCAGTAATTATTTTCGTCATATTTTCTGTAGCGTCATCAATTTCAGCAGCATTGTTAAGTTTGTGAGCCGAGTAATTAAAATTAAAGTCAATTAAAGAAGAAAATTTAGTTCAATAAGTTCTAACATTAAAAAAAATATATATATATTCTAGAAACTAGTTTCACACTGATGCAAGATATTCTACAAAATTTCAGAATGAGTTGAAAATGGATTCATAATTTAAAAAGTTGAAAAACATGCAATTCTTTTCAAAAACTCTTTTAAATTTTAAAGAAACTTCACCATTAAAAGTTTAAAAAAATTTTAGGAATTGTTGTAAAGTTTCAAAGTGGGATAGTTGTGGGCTCGTAGTCAAAAGAATTTTTTCCGATGTAAATTTTATTCTAGTATGTAGGATTGTAAAAAGCGGTATCGCATTTCTGAGATATTTTTACATAATTTAGGATTTTTTGAAAAACTGAATTTGAATACCCGAAATGTTTGAAAATTTTTGAATGGCCACTTTTATCTTTTTGTGAATTTTCAAAATAAACAGCAAATTCACTTGGATGTCAAGGAAATGGTTTATACTATAGTAAATAATTTATTTAGTTTTAGATCGTAATGGCTTCATAGTTAAAATAATTGAAAATAAATCCATTTTCGCCGAAATTCGGGCTAAGTTGTGAACAGTAAGAGTAGCATTATTTGTACAATATGTTAAATAAACAATTTTCTTATAGCAGAATAAATTTGTGAAATTTTCTGAGGATTTCTGTAGTGTCTAAATTGACTTTATTATGCAATGTGCGCAGCTAGTATACAAGTTTGGTTTGTCACTCTACGGTAATTTTGTGCACACTTTGGGCTAATTAGACCGGGACCTACAGTTTAATGTGGATTCTGAACCACTAACAAACATCCATGCCACCGCCAGGATTCGAACCTGAAGCCTGTGGTACCAAAGGTCAGAGACTAGTATACAGGAGGGTTGAGGGCCGTATTCCATTTGCGACATTGTTTTCACAGAGACTCGATGGCGATTGTGACAATGTATATAAGGCATTTCGCATCGATAGTCAAGTTGCCTGATGGGAACCTTCAGGGTTTTCTTTCGTACGACACATAAATGATGGGCAATTACCTCTGGAAGACCCTGTTCTCTCAATACTCGTCGATGGGCTGTTTATGGTCTATGTGAGGCCCACCGATGTTTATAACTGGTAGAGAGCTATACAGCCTATGGGGGTGATTCATAAAAGGAAAAAAAAAATTCTCTAAATAAAACTGACGAATTTTTTTTAAATTAAGGCATTACTAATAATACTTTTTATTGCAAGTACAGTAGTCCCTTGTTATATTATCGACGACTATATATAGGATGTGGGACTTTTTTCTAAAAAAAAGGGGAGAAGGATATTTGAATGCGTGATGTAACGAGGCGTAGTATAATTAGGGTCTACTGTTTTTATATTCTTTTTAACATAGTAGTATAGTTGACAGTCAATTTTTGAAATTGCAAATAGTTTGCAGTTTAAGACATGTTCTGTAATGTTAGTGGCCAGTTGTTAGACGCCTCTTTGAACTTATTTAAACTTGTAAGGACATGCAGAATGATTTAAACAATTGCAGAATGTTTCATTATTTAGTAAAAATATATAATTTCAATTATGTTAATTTAATTAAAAAAATATTGTCTCGATTTAATAATGCATGAGTTTAAGTGCAAAAAAATTATTGACCTGAAATTGACATCTACCATTATCTAAATCCGTATTAATGAAAATGCCAAGCCATAACTATTAAATTATATACAAGTATTCTAGACATAACTAACTATACCGTTTTATAAACATTTATTAGATAGAATTTCAATTAAGTTTACATTTTTAAAAAAAAACTGGTGTTGTTTTTTTTGACTACGTACCTACTATCATCGCTAACTCTGAAATTTTATTAAATAAAATTTATAAGTATATAAATACATTTTTTCTCTTATAGAAACTTTTTAGTTGATTTTTATTTTATTTTTTAAGCTGAATTCGAAAATTTAAACCTTTTAATTGCATCGCATAAAACTATTTTATGATTTTTATATATTACATTTTATACTTTTTAATTTAACTAATCTTAATAGTATTTTTAAAGCTGAATTTGAAAATAAAATTTATTTTTCTCTATCATGTAAATATTTATGCTAGAAACTCTGGTGTAAAATATATATATAAATTTATTTAGATCTCAAAGACTTTTTTGACTAAATTGTATAGCATTTTTAAGCTAAATTTAAAAATCAAAATCATTTTTTTCTGATGCGTATAGAATATTTATAATTTTAAATTTATCAAAGCATGTGCATTTTTTGTCATTCTAAATTTCTTCAAAAGATTAATCTTTTATTAATTTGAAGATATACCTAAGTTCTTCGTTTAATTGGTGTTATGATTTTATATGAAGGGTAGTTATTTTTGGATTAGTTAAAAGGGAATTCGTGAAATTTTTTTTACCAGAGTTTTATTTGAATACCATATCTTAATTTTGAAATGACTTTTATGAACTTTGTTGCTCCATTCGCACATTAAACAGCAAAAAAAAAAAAAAAAATTTTTATTTCCAATGGCATATTATGAACAGTTACAGCAAAAACACAACAACAACAAAATGATACAACAAAACATGCTGAAACAGAGTTCATTAATCTAACATAAAGCCAAGTTGCAGATCTCTTAGCCATTAAAAAGTGTTACCAGGTGCACCTCAGGGAGGTAAATCTTCTGCGCACCCTTAAACAGCAAAATTGTATATCCAAAATTTTATGTTAACCAAGAAGCAAAGCAATTGCTTTCTGGTCTTTTTATCTATTACATCTAAATATCATATTTTTCTACGTTCTCCTGATCATATATTTTTGTACTGCTTTCCCGGTTTTCATATTTTATAAAGAGTTGCACTATTATAATTAAGAACACAAATTTAAATTTTATTAATATGAAGACATATTCAGCACAAATCTTATGTGCTATGTAAAGTATACATACCTAAAAAAATATAATTAGGAGAAAGAAAATGCAAAATAATTATATAAAATTTTAATAATAAAAAGTATAACGTTTAAGAAAGACCTTTGGCTAAATATTTGAAATTTTAAGTATAATTTGTTAAAAATATTCGCAGCAATTTTTTAAGGTACTGATTAGTCAACTGTAGATTTATTTTGATAAATAATAATATTCGACTAATAATAATAATAATAGATAAATAATAAACATATTCGATAAATAATAATAATATTCAATAACATTCAACTTCATGAACTTCATCATTATGGAGGGCAAAGATTCACGGCAATATGTTGTATCAAAAATTGTCTCGAGTTTTCAAAATACAGTTATAAAAGTATGTTGGCATTACATTTGCAATACCTGTTTCTCTTTCATCTCTTAATAATTCCAGTTCCATTAGCCAATATTTCAGCAAATATTATTTCAGAAATTGAAAGTCCATTTCTCATAATATTATAAGTAATTAGGTTTACAAAATATGCAAATGTAGATTTATAATTTTTCAAAAAAAAAAAAAAAAAAAAAAAATTTTTTTTTTGTTTTGTTTTGTTAAATAAGACAGAATTTGACACTTTTATGAATATGCAACATAAAAAAAAAAAAAAAATAATAAAAAAACCACTCAAATAATATCATTTCTTACACTGAAATAATAATTGCAGAAAACATAAAAATATCTAGACATAAAAAAAATATAACATGAAATTTATATAACAAAACATTAATTACTGAGTTAATTTAAAAACATTCAGTGGAAACAATTCTGCAATAATAATAATAATAATAAAAGGGATTTGAATTTGCAGTGGTTGCCACACTTAGCTCAAGGGAGAGTCGTATTTCCCCACCGTTGATTTACTACTTTGCCCAAAAATAAGACCAATTTTTTTTCAAAAACTCTTTATTTATTCTTCCAAATTTATTTCATCGCCTTCAAAGTAATCCCCTCCGGACACAATGTACTTATGCCAACGTTTTTCCAATCCTCAATGCATGCTAAAAAGTCATCGGCAGGGATGGCCTTCAAAGCGGGCGGCGATTCACGTTGAATCTCTTCAATCGACTCAAAACGGCGTCCCCGGAGTAG